AGGTGTTTTCATGTTAACATTTTTGAAACATGGGATAACTTGTTTTATAGAAGGGATACTATGAGCTAAATTAATTCATAAACCTATTTAGAGAATGTGATGTGTCTGTGTTACATCCAAACCTGGTAATATAGAAGACATGCCTATATGCATCAAACCAACAAAATCACATACCTTTACTTGTCAAAAATTACCCCAGATCATGTTGACTACAAAAAAACTGGTGTTAATTTTGAAGGAGTTATGTTTTAGAAATTAATATTATTAAGTGATAAAATGCAAAGATAGTCCTCAGTGTTGGCAGCACCCCACGGAGGTGAACATGGCATGGATGTGCATGACGTGCTTGGGGAGTCCACAAGTGAGCAGACCTGTGCGCCCTGAGATCTGTGCTTCTCGTTAGTTTATAGACAAGGGGCGAGGGAAGTGCAAGATCTCAGGGGTCACATAAGGGAACCCGGGTCCTGTGACAGGCAACCCTACGAGGCCCCAGACCTGTCCTGGGCAAGCAAGAGAGAGCCCCTCAGGTGCGTTTGTGCCCCAACATGAGGACTGTGTCCAGGTCACCAGGGAGAAGGGACACCCACCTGGCCACTATCCCACAGCAGCTACCCATGAGGAACACTAAAGAATGTTTTTGGCACTTTTCATTTCTCTTAAGAACTTCTCTTGATACTGGCTTTTCAAAGAGAGATGGTTGAGATGAGAGAATAGTTGAGATGTAGGGGTAGATGAAGGTATGTACGTGACCCCTAGGTGAATTTCTCATCTTGCAAAGTGGTAAGTATATCTATTCCCTGTGCAGACTTTGCTTAGTGGACGATTCAGAAGAATAATTTTATGAACACCCAAATGTCCCTTTTAATGCTGAACAAATTTTGTAGATTTTTTTTTTATAGAGGCATGTTTTATTTATTTGTTTGTTTGTTTTGTTTATACATGCACTGGGTACAGTCAGAAGCACGGGAGGGTGAGAGAATTCACCAGAGCCAGAGCGAGGAGCAGAGCAGGCAGAAGGACCGAAGTACACTGCTGAGGGGAGCAGCGGGCGGCAAGAGAGGTCTGCGGCCATGTGGGACCCTCCTCCGGTGGCCAGGGAGCAGCCGGGGATTGAACTGGCGCCGCAGAGGCCCCGGGCAGCTTCACAACCCAGCGCTCAACCGCTGCGCCACCGGGGAGTTATTATTCAAAAATTCTTTAAATTTGTTTGTCAAATTTTGCCAGGAGAATAGGAACACTTTATGTCATTTCCAAGGACCAAGAGGATTTCACAAAGGGGAAGCAAGAGATTATCTCACTTGAAGGTCCAGAATAAGTCCTACAAATAGTCAAAAGTATAAGCGCAGGGCCTCCCTGGTGGCGCAAGGGGTTAAGACGCAACCTATGAAGCTCACCACAGTCATTGCAGCACAAGTTCGATCCCCAGTCAGGGAGCAACCCACATGGCATAGCAGACCTCCTGACTCACCTGCTGCTCCTCTCAGCAGTGTATTTCAGTCATTCTGCCTGTTCTGTTCCCCACTTTGGTGAATCCTCTCACCCTCCACACCTCTGGCCTGTACCCCAGTTCTTGTATACATAAATAAATAAATCTTAAAAAAAAGTATAAGGGCAGAAAATACCTCTGAAGATGGGCATAGAGCCTGCCTCCACCTGCCCAGTTGGTCATCAGGGCCAACAGACTTAGAAGGAATGTTGCCATTTGTGACACCAGGGTGACTCAGAGTTATGCTAAGGGAAAGACTTCAAAAGGAACAAAGTGAATACCACAAAATATCCATTGTGAGATTACTATAGAAAGAAGTGAAATGAACAAAGAAAACAATTTCATCTCAGAGCCAATTGGTGGTGACCAGATTGGAAGCTGGAGGGAGTGGGTGAGAAGGTTGAAGGGATTGTTTTTGGGTGGTAGTTGGAAGTTAGACTTTTGCTGGTGATGGGGATTGTGCACTTGACATGTATATGATGTTATAAAATGATTTGAAACTTGTAATGTGATTGGTGTTGACCTCTTAGCAGGCATGAGGGAAGAGCCTTGAAGGAAGAAATTGGTAAAAGACTATACACTTTAAGTTATATGATCAACAATCCTGGAGTGTCTAATATATAATATGATGTATATTGTGGTAATACTGCATTGTAAAAGGATTTCTTTTCAAAGAACCCTCATTTCCTTTGCTTCTGAGTGGGTAGCATTTCAAACCACATGAAATGGAACAAGAGACACAGCAAAAGTGGTCACGTGGTAGAGTGCGCATTGTTCCTGACTTGTTATTGACACCCCATGAATGGGCATCCTCCATTCATGACAATACTTGTTTGTAAACGTCCTGAAGATTGTGACTGACAAGGCACCAAGTTTCCTTACTTTATATATAATATAAAACAACTGTAATTATGGAAAATCATTCTTTGGATAAATAATGGAACTTAATCCACAGCCAGAGTTTATTGCACATTTACATAAAATTTATTTGTAATAAAGGAATCATGAGCTTAATCTGGGGACCTAGAGTCCCTTTGGCAAAGGTGCGGGGGACCAGAAAGCCAAAGTAAAACAGTGAAATTAGACACAGTCCGGTCAAGCTGAAATCAAATCCAAAATGGTTAAGGCCACAGATCTAAGACCTTCCACAAGAAACACACAGAAGAAAGTGAGCATGTGTGTGATGACATCAGTGATGAACATGCCTTTGTAGCCTCAACTCTGGAGCAGGGAGAATAGAAGAAGGAGTAAACATTCCTGTGACCCCAAGTTTAGTGGTTTTACAGAAAATATATATAGATGCGGAAAAATTTGTGCATGGGAGAAATTAAATACATCCAACACGCAAACCAGGAGTTAGCAAAAACAAGTGTTGTCATGCACAGAGGCATTTGGGGGCAAGAGACATACATAACATATTCATTTCAAGTCATATCCTGGCATTTGCCCTTCACTGCATGGTTTATCCACTGGAATGACACCATGTGTCCTCCCTGCCCCCATCATCTCGGGCTCACCTGAAGACACTCAGGGCTGATGGGCTGTAGGGCAGAGGTCTCGTCAGTGTCAGGGACATCACAAGAAATCAGCATGTCGTCCTATTTCCAGATCCGTCACAGGAACAGGGACTTCAGGTAACCTCTTTTCTCTGGCCCAGTCAGGAAACCTGCCCATATCACACACTTGAGAACTCAGAGTTGATCTCAGAAAATACAAAGAATCAGGACTTGCCTTTTCTGCACAGAGTTCTGTGGGCCTGGAATCTGGTTCAGGGGGGCTTCCTGCCCTCAGCCCAGATCTCTGTGGGACCCCCTGACTCTAAGCAGGGCTTCTGATCACACCCCCTAGCTATGGCCCTGCCCTGTCATTGAGATATGTCCATTGGGGTGTAGCCAAGGGGGAGCTTTTGGGGGTGAGGCCCAGGGGAATGGACCCAGTGGGGATCACACAGCCAAGGCTCCTGATGAAATGGAGGCTGCGAGTCTCCAGGAATGATGGTGCTTCAGCAAGTGTCTCCACACCTTCCTCAGCAAAGGGCTTCAGCCTCCCCATTTTCCAATTGTACAAACCTAAAGGATGTGGCCTTTTTGCCTCTCTTTTCATCCATTACCATTCTTTCTCTCTACTGTGTTACTGTGGTAGGCCTAACAGTTGGTATTGATTGACCAGCCCACCTGCATTTTGGGGGCAAACTCAACTAAGTGTTTTCCCATTTACTGGGCAGCACGTTGTCCAGTGATTCTCATTCTGCTCGTGACCAGGGCTTGATCTTTCCCTCTCCTCCTCTCCTGGTCTGGTTGTGTCACGCAGGTCTGTTACATGCCACATGAAGCAATCAGAGGTCTTTCATTTTCCTGCTCTGTGGAAAGCTGATAAGGCTGGAATGAGGAGGTCATTGATGATGTCAGGAATGAGGGAAATTTCACCTTTCCCTTAGCATTCTCTCAGGACAGTAAAATTGGCAAATAACTTTAGTTAGGCTAGAGGGAATAAAATAATTACATACCTGAAGGAGATAACATAGAATGAAGAATCCCAGAGAGTGGGGCAAAAGTTGGGGCATCCAGAGATAAGGGCTGAGGTAGGGCCCTGGGGGTGCAGGGGAAGGGGTGACCTCACATGATGCAGAACATAAGGACTTTAGTTAAGTTGTCCCCCATCAGCACTGGCTGTTGTATTTCACGAGGGAGCCCCTGAAATTGTCGCTCTGTGCCCACCCTTATCCACCTGTCCTCTAAATCTGGAAGGGTATAGGGGAATAATTTTCTGCTACTATGTTCAGTGTCTCAGGTCAATAGCTGTGGCAGGGAATGCTTCAGGGAATAGACCTGGTCCTTTTGAAAATTAAGGATAAGAATGAAACCTATCACCCATGTTCAATCACGAGGACACTCTAGGTACTTCTCAGTGTCCCAGAATCCTCGTGTCTTGACAATAAAGGATTCTCATGGAGCCTCAGGATTAGGGCATTTCTGATCCAGGAAGGTGAAGCTGCAGATGCTGGCCCAGCCATGGAAGGTGGGGAATGTCCCAGTAGATTCAGCGCAGCCCCGTGAGCACTATGACTGAGTGCATGTTCTGGGGGATGGTGATTCCCACGTGGAGGGACATCTGGCCCTGAGTGTACATTGCTGTGTGGGGAACAGCCAGGGGTCCCACCCTGCAGAAGACTTATGTCCCTGATTATAATGTGGCCTTTAGTAGATGCCATGCAGGTGTGTGTGTAGGGCTGGTCTTTGTATTTATGACTGAATTTTACCAATCACAGCTACAAACTTTCCATCTCTCAGCGGGTGCTCTTTGTCCTCAGGTTTCATCCTGAAACCCGAATTTTCCAAACCCTCCTCCTCTCCTATCTGACCAGGAGCATCAACAGACAGCATTTTATCAAGTGCACGTCTGTCGTGTTTTCTTGCACATGGGGGCTATCTATTTTGGGGTTCAACTCAGTGTCCAGACATCCCCCCACATCCATGCAGGAAGGATAGAGCTGTGATGCTGACAGCTTCTTGCCGCGGACCAGCACAGCAGTAGACGATGAGGCCGTCTCAGGGTTGAGAGACTGCGCAGGGTGGTCAGGGATTCGGTTAAAGAAATGACAAACAGACACACTTCAAGAGAGAGTGTAAATCTGAGTGCAATTTTATTTGAGTCGGTGGTCAGTATATATATGTTTTTTCCAAAGGCATAGGAACAGTGAACATCAAAGAAATCAGTTTGCTCATAGGTTTAGCTTATCATTGACAGGGCAGTGATTTATGTCCACAATACATCTGGACCTAGCTGCATTCCTAAGTAGACAGGTTATTAACTCTTTCTGTATTCTTGTACTAATTACTACTACTATTACCTACTTATGTTTACTCATAATTAATTGTCATAGGTAAATTTATATTATAATGCAGTTAATATCAAAGGTACTAAAGTTAAGCACATAATAGAAAGATTATTAAACTAACAATTCTATTATAATACAGTGTTTAGTAATGTTTCATTTGCATTAGCCTAATTATTAAATTACGTATGCTTTTTAATTAGCAATCAATGACCAGAAAAAGGAAAGATTTTAGAGAGACAGTTGTAGCAGAATAAAGTTTGTGGGCCTTGAGAAAGCGAGATAAGGTTCCAGGTGGTCAGCATTTCTTTTAATCATCTTTGTGGCAGCTTCTGGTGGTCGTTATCTCTTGGCAGGCATTCGGCTTCTCTGCATCTTAGGGAGTTTGCTGTTCTCCCCCTGCGCGCATGGTTCCTTGCCCACGCTGGACCTCAGGGACCATGGCAACAGCCATTAGCCCTGAGGGTCACTGCAGGGGGAGGTGCAGCAGCTTCTCATGTGCCCCCACCATTGTCACATGACCTGCACCTGTCCTCTGAGGGATAGGGTGTCCCCTCCCTTGTGGAGATGGCCCAACTGAGACGAGAGGCGGCGCCCTCTGCTGGACTGTGACAGTCACTGCACAAGGACCATGTCAGTTGCATGTTTGTGCTTTACTGACCCAATACAAGTCTTCTAGGACTTTCCATCCCACCATTCATTGAGTTTTCAAGATCTCAAGAAACTGCTTTTGAGATAAAAAAATTTTGATTTTATATTTAATGAATGATTTACTGGATGAAGTGTCACTCTAGATCACTTCAAGTTTGAGGCGCTCACTTGTTCCCATAATGTTCACTTTTGCGTACATGCACTGGTATTTCCCAGCATCCTCCCTCATGATGTTCTTTATGTGCACCGTCTTATTGTTAGAGGACAGCTTCTTATTCTCTTTTTCCTGCAGTTTGCGGCCATTGAATAACCAGTGGAGGCGTACAGATGTATCACTTGTCAGACATATTATAACAAGTTCGTCATTTACTTGAACTGTGGATGTGAATTCCTCCAGAGAGGTGGCTGTCAATGGTTCTGTGGAGAAACAGAGCAGGTGACAAACTGAGAGGGAGCTGGCATGGGGCGGCCTTCCTTCCTTAGGGCTCAGCACTCACAGATCACATACGTCTGTCTGTCTCCACATGGTGACAGTGACTTGTGCAGCAGGTGGAGTGACCTGGTTGGTGACTAGTGCAGAAGGTGCCATCCACACCCCACACCCACTGTGCTCTCCCCAAATTAGTGGACAGAAACCTAGCAGGTCCCCGGATCTCTTGTTAGTATCAGCACAGGCTGCTCTTCTCACTTGTCCCACCACTTGCTCAGGGGCAAATAATGGACTATGGATATGATGTGACCTTGTCCTAGAGTTTCATGGGGCTAATGCAACAGGCAACGCCTCCTCATATAGACTCCAGAAAGGAGAGTGTCCACACTGCCCCCGTCCTCACTGAACAGGAGATAATGACAGAAGGTACGTAACTCTCGTTATGTGCTTCTGTACACAATATAGATGCCCCATGACAGTGCTCATGATTGTGAAAAGTGCAGTGCAGGATGTGGGATGTGACTGAAGGCCTGGCTTGAGCTGTGGTTTAGGCAGAAGTTACTCTCAGGGAGACCAGGAGCTTCTAGCTCAGTTCAGAAATGAGGCTTCAGGGTCATGAGCTGGCAGTTGTGCCCAAGTGTTCAGTGGTGACTGATAGGACACAGTGAGCTCATTTTTAGGGTCAGAGTCTCAGGAAGGGTCTGGAAAGAGTGAGGGACAGGCAGGCCCTGGCTGGTTTGGGAGCTGCCTCCTGTTCTCTGTCCTTGGGCTTCATTGTCTCAGCTCCCACTGCTGAGGGCAGCTGAGGCCCCTGCTGGTCTCTCCTGAATCTTCACCAGAGCAGAGATACAGAGGAGGACTTGTGGACAGTGAGGCAGGAACTTGCTGAAAATATGACCTTGGGGAGTAAGTAATTGTGATGGAATATTGAAAATTATTATAAATATACCAACTATCCAAGAGTGGTTTTTGTGGAAATATCTGTATTAAAAATATTCAAAATTTAAAGACCATCATCCAAAATTCATATTCCAAGCAAATCACCACTTTGAATTAAAATGGTGTTTTTGGGGCCTCCCCGGTGGCACAGCGGTTGAGCACTGGGTTGCGAAGCTGCCCGCGGCCTCTGCAGCGCCGGTTCGATCCCCGGCTGCTCCCCGGCCACGGGAGGAGGGTCCCGCATGGCGCGCAGACCTCTCCTGCCGCCCGCTGCTCCCCTCAGCAGTGTACTTCGGTCCTTCTGCCTGCTCTGCTCCCCGCTCTGGCTCTGGTGAATTCTCTCACCCTCCCGTGCTTCTGACTGTACCCAGTGCATGTATAAACAAAACAAACAAACAAATAAATAAATAAAAAACATGCCTCTATTAATAAAAAAAAAAATTAAAAAAAAAATAAAATGGTGTTTTTGGCTTCAGTGATTCCCTGTATAAAGAGACATGTGAGGCCTCTTATGAGACAGAATGTGTGTGTGGGGGAGTGTGAGCTGACTCTGTTAATAAGAGAATATATGGCTTCAGTTTAGTACATGCTGTTGTGTCAGTACCTTTAGGGTGGAGTCCCTGCCAGTGCCTCTGTGGACAGTCAGGAATGGGGAGGAGACCCCACCTGGTCCCGTGACAGTCTATTTCTATCCTGCTGTCTTTGGAATCATGGCTAGATTTGATCAAGTCCTGCCTTTGGGCAATGTTTGAGGGAAAGGATGGTGGCTGGGGGAGGTCAGCATTAGAGCACCCACAGGAAGGTGTCCTCATGAGGTGCAGCCAGCGTGAGATACGGGCAGTCAGGATGGGTGGGAGGAAGCAACCCCACCCAGGGGAGGTCTTGGGGCCACTGGGGAGAGTGGAGCTTCAAGCTCTGACAGGAAGGAGTCAGGAGTGCAAGGGGAAGGGGATGCAGTAGGGTTTGTTGCCTGCAGACCCATCCTTGGTCCTCACTCCTGGGAGAGTCATGTAGAGAGTAGATAAAGGGGTCTATGCTCCCCCATGACTCTGTGCCCATGTTGGCCTCAGAAAGGGAAGATGTGTCTGTGATGGTGAGAAAACAGGGCTCTGCTCTGCTCTGCTGGTGCCTGCCTTTGACCCAACAGTTTGAACCTGGTCACAGCGTGAGGGGAGTGTCTGAGGACAACGACAGGAAGCTGTGCAGAGCAGAGGTGGTGCTGCCTGAAGGGAGGGGAGATGAAGGAGGGAAAGGTGAGAGCAGAGAGAGAAGAAAGGTCCCTGGTGTTGAGTGAGCAGGTTACAAGTGACCCCAAACTCCCAAAGCCCAATGCCCCAGAGCAGGGCCAGAGCAGCCTGACACCCCCACCGCCCAGCAGCTCTGCAGTCACCAGGACATGGGTTCCCAGGGTGCTGGGGGGCAGGATGTCAGAGGATGGACACAGTGCCAGCCCTGGAGAGACAGAACACAGTTGCCAGAGCCTCTCAGGACTCTGCGCGCAGGTCCCGTCTCATCTCATCTCATCTCTGAGGGAATGAGAATCCCTCATTCCTCACTCTCCACTCTGTCCTCTCTCCTGTAGATAAGAGTATCTGAGCTTTGTTCCATGTGGACCTGGCTGTTTGCAGATGGAGTGTGGGGATTGAGAGGGCAACTCATTTTCTCTATTTCCCAGTGAGTGACACCCACATGTCAGGATCTACCAGTGATTTCAAGTCCCGTGTCCAGAGCTGTGGATGGACCATTGAGAGGGCGGCCTGGGCATCCCCAGCACTGACTCTCATTGTTGCTACAGGACATTTACTCCAGAGTCCATATGGATGATGTTCTGTTTCTCTCAACCCCCAGACTTGACTCTGCTGTGGGAGCTGGATGCCCTCAGGACAATGGATCTGAACAATAGCTGGTGTTAGGGAGCCCAGAGAATCCCCAGGATGAAGGGGGCAAGGCAGTGACTGCTCATTTTCTTGGGGTGAATCTGATGGGGTGGGTTCTCGTTCTGTGACTCTGACTCAGTGCCTATATCTCCTGGAAGTTAGGGATCCTCAATAATCAGGGCAAATGGTGATCCTTAGACTCCTGTGTCACTAAAGCTTATATAGGGCAACTGTCCAGTAAGTGGCGTCTGTCATTAGTTTTCTCCTTCAGATGCTCCCAGGTGATCCCTGATGGACAAGCACCTGCCAGGGCCAGTTTTTCCCTCTGTCCCTGCCTGGGGACACTGTACATCCTTTTATAACTCCCACAGTCCCCTTGGCTGATGGCTAATAGCCTGAGGTAGTCCCTGTCTCCACACTGAGTGTTAGACAAATCCCAGGCTCTGCCCTGTTCCCCTGTGGCCATTGGAGCTGAACCCTGGCTGGTGACTTGGTGCTGCCATCAGCCTTGCTCAGGAGGCCAACATCACAGGGGCACAGGCTCACCATTCCCTGGGTCTGGGTTCCTGGGGCAGGGGTTGGGCAGGGATTAATAGGGCCTGAGATTCTCTGTGGGAGTCCCAGGTATCTCCCCATTGTGGCCCTGATTGAACCCTCTGGGTCTTTTATGGTCATGTTCATGGGGAGGGGTCCAGGGTGCCACCCTGACCCTGATCTCCCTTGGGTGGACACTCCCCTAGATGTCTCCTTCCCCCTGCATGGAGAGTCTGCAGGGCCTGGGCCCCAGGAGAGGAGTTTGATTTCTCCAGTTCATCTCCCTGGCATGTCTTGCACTAAATGCAGAAACCCCACCATGGGACATAAGCAGAGGGGAAAGGAGGCAGGTCCAGGCCTGTCCATCCCTGTGTGTGCAGTAGATTTACCACCCGCACCCCGAGGGCAGAGAGGGATCACTTACCTAGAATGAACAAATATATAGATGCCTTATACTTTTTGTTGTTAGTCATTAAGGCCTCCACGGTGTAACATCCTGAATCTTCTCTGGAGATGTTCCAGACCTTTAGTGCAGCAATTGGGTATAATTTCTCTCGGCCAGTGTATGCAGGCCCTGGGCTCATTATTCCTGTGCTTACAACGTATGATGCAATTTGATTATTAGGATCCCTGTTGTCACCTTTGAGCCAGGTGTAGCTGTGAACTGTTCTCGGTATTGGATCAAGCTTGAGAAATATGTAAGAATTAACATCAGGAGCCATCCGGGATTCCAAAACTAATCCGCCATTGTTGGGTAGTATCTCAATGGTGCAGAGTGAGACTAGGAGGGAAATGACAGAAATCAGTCAATATTTACACTTGTAGTTTGACATCTGAAGGCACGTTCTAACTTCCTCAGATATGTTGTGTGTATGTATGTATGTTGTGTGTCCTATTTGTTAATGGTCAGCAGCATGAATATGACCTTTGTCTCTCTGGATATATTTGATGCTGTGTTTCAAATTATTTGACCCAGTCTTGTGCCATGCTCACCCCATCCCTGCCCTCTGGTCCCTGCTCACACTCTTGTGACCTACATAGATGCCTCACAGTCCCCTTGCTGTGCAACCCTCAGTCTTCTTAGAAACTTTCCCTGCTTTGTGCCTTTTAGGATACTTGCCAGCGCCTAACAGCGCATTCTAGATCTTACTTCCCATAGGACTGAGCTCCATGAGGGCAGGGACTTGTTTGATCTTGTTGTTTCCCAGTGGTGGGTCAGGCTGCAGATCCATGTGGATGAATAAGTGAGTGTCCTTGGGCAGCTCATCCTGGTAATTAACTACCAAGTACTGAGGGTGTGAGTCAGGACAATCTTTAGTTCCCTGGTACTGCTGCTCTAGAGTGTGCTCCTGAAATAAATTGTTGCTCACTTCAGACTTTGAAGTGTTTCCTCAGTGATAAATCACATGGACCTTTTGCCCTATTCTGGATTTTCTCCCTCTCCCCTCCACACATCATGTAGCTGAACCCTGGGCTGTCATCCTATCTCACATCTCCTCCAGTCAGATTAAATGTTAGTCCTCTGTCCCTGCTCAAGGACTCCTGTGCTCCTGTCCTCCTTTCTTCCATGGGACAGCCTGTCCAGCTAGTGTCTGTGTGTCCATCCCCCACCCACCTCCAGGTGTTGTCCCTCTCACCTGCCAGCAGGAGCCCCTGCCAGGGGACTCGCCATCTGTGTCCATGGGCTGAAGGAGCCTCCATGGCGTCTGCTGCCTGCTCTGTGATCCCTGTGAGAGAAGAGCTGGGGCTCCAGAAAGGCTCACGGGCACAGCTGCTCCTGAGTGTCAGCGCTGAGATGCTTCCTCCTCTGTGCTGAGCCTCCTCCTGGAACAGTGATTTTTTTGAGGGTCATGTTGTTAGGGGTGGGGTCTGGACACTCCCTTGGCCCTGCCCTCATCCTGCCTCCCTTGTTCACTTTTGTTCTACTTTAGTCTGCATGGAGACTAGAAATGCTGAAATGCCTGCCCTCCACAGCTGTGAGCCCTGACCTGCACACACACACACACACACACACACACACACACACACACACACACACTCTCTCTCTCTCTCTCTCTCTCTCTCTCTCTCTCTCATGAAACTGCTATCATAATAGGAAATTTTAAGTTGCTTAACTTAAAGCTGGATAAAAGTAAACATTAAAGAACCAACAATATTTTAAATGAAATTCATAAATATTTTAGTTATCATAATTAGTCTGCCAGTGTCTGGCATTGAATTTTTAATGTGCTCATTTCCTGAAATCCATTTTATCATGAGTTCGGGAATCACTTTTTTCATTTTCTAAGGAGAAACCTCCTGTATTGTGAATTTTTTCTAATTATGTCTGTTTAATGCCAGTAGTTGTTAATGAACATAGTTGAAGAGCTGAAGGAATTTATTTTTTTTAAGTTCCCTTTTTTTTTTAAGATTTTATTTATTTATTTATACAAGCACTGGGTACAGTCAGAAGCACGGGAGGGTGAGAGAATTCACCAGAGCCAGAGCGGGGAGCAGAGCAGGCAGACTGATGTAGTACACTGCTGAGGGGAGCAGCGGGCGGCAGGAGAGGTCTGCGCGCCATGTGGGACCCTCCTCCGGTGGCCGGGGAGCAGCCGGGGATTGAACCGGTGCTGCAGAAGCTGCGGGCAGCTTCGCAACCCAGCTCTCAACCGCTGTGCCACCTGGGAGACCCGACATTAAGATTATTTTGAAAAACCATTCAAATCACAATTTAATTTCAGCCTGTTCAGTTACACGAGGTAAAATACCTTTCTCATTTTAGCAAAAACACTACTCAATAACATGAAATATATTTATCCAGGACTATTCTCTGTTTTTCTTGGCCAGTGTTTGAATTCTGTGCTGTTTTTCATAGTTTTAGTTATGTGCAAGTGGAAATTCTTAATTCTCGAAGGCTTCATGTATGGTAAGGACTGAAATCAGTACTGTGACTATCTTATACGAGACTTTCAGGGCTGGGAAGGTATGAATGCAGCTCCTCAGTCTAGACATGTATGTGTCAAGAGGCTCAAGATATGTCTGCTATTAGCCAATTTCCTTTCATTTCTCTGTAATTAGGAGCCAAAAGTAACTAATCCATGATGAGTATTTAATGCTTCCTTAGTTTAGATTATTTGCCTAAATTAGAGATATTCACTGAATTTCCATTATTTTATGTAACTATAAAAACTCTAATTTGCAATTTACCTAAAATATTTGAGAGTCTACTAAAAGTGCAGTAGAAAGCTCACTTACCTACTCTGACCGCATTCTATATATTAACTGTTTGCTGCAGTAAATGTGCTTTTCAATGGGTTACCAGACTGGTTCACCTGACTGAGAAACTGCAGATAGAAGAGTAAGATTCCACTGCTTTTCCTAAGAACATCTCCCTGAAACTAGCATTTCAAAGAGAAATGACAAGATGAGAGAATATTTGAGATAAAGGAGATGATAAAGGAATGTCCCTGACCCTGGATGCATCACAATTTTTTTTTTATAAAGTTAAATATTCCATTTCCTTTGGGGACATAGCTAAGGGAGGAGACAGAAAAGTGGTTTTTATCAGAACCCGAATGTCCCTTTTCAGTTTTGACAGGTTGGAACATCCAGCTATTATTAAAAAATCCTTTAAATATAATTCTCAAGTTTTGCAAGGAGAACAGGAACATTTAGGTCAGTATCAGAATTCCAAGGAGCATGAGGGTTTCACAAACAAGAGGCAGGAGATCATCTCACTTGGAAATCAGAACATGTTCGACAGAGTCAAAAGAATAAAGCCAAAATTACCTCTGAGGGCGGGCCATAGAGCCTGCCTCCACCTGCCTAGTTGTTGATCACAGCCACCAAGACTTAAAAAGAATGTTCCCAGTTGGGACACCAGGGTGGCTTAGACAGAGTTATGCTAAGGGAAAGATGTCAAGATGAAATGGCAATTTCTTTAAAATAGCCATGGTAACAGGAAGAGCTATGAAATGAACAAGGAAAACAAAGTTCACCTCAGAATAGATTGGAGGTGACCAGAGTGGCAGGAGGCTGGAGGTGGTGGGCGAGAAGGGTAAAGGGTCCCTATGGGTGGTGGATGGAAGTTAGATTTTGACTGTAATGGGCATTTGTCCACTGAGCTCTCCAGTGTATTACGCTGCACCTGACACGTATAAGATATTATGAAATGAATCAATAACTCCTAAAGTAACTTATTAGATATGTGGGAAGATGAGGAGGGGTTGTTAAAAGACTAAAATTTCAGTTATGTGAAGAATAAGTCTGGACCGTCTAATGTATACTGTGATGATTATTGTGATGAAAGTGTGTTATAACTTTGATTTCTTATTCAAAGAGGAAAAGGGCCCTCATTTCCTCTGCTTCTGAGCGGGGAGCATTTCAGATCACATAAAATGGAACAAGAGATGCAACAAAAGTGGTCACGTGGTAGAGTGTGTGTTGCTCCTGGCTCATTCCTGACACTCCATGAATGGGCATCCTCAGTGCATGACAACACTTGTTTGTGAAGGTCTTGTAGATTGTGATTGATGAGGCACCATGTTCCCTGACTTTATATATAGTATACAACAATAGTAATTACGGAAAAACATTATTTGGGTGAATTGACGCAGGGATCCATGGAACATGATCCCCAGCCAGAGTTTATTGCACATTTACGTAACATTGATTTATAATAAAGGAGTCATGAGCTTAATCTGAGGACCTGGAGTCCCTTTGACAAAGGGACTGGAGGCCACAGTAAAAGAATGAAGGTGGATCATGCTCTCATCAAGCTGAAATCAAAACCAAAATGGATTAAGGCTATAGATCTAAGACCTTCCACAATAAAACACGCAGAAGAAAGATGGCGACTGTGTCATAGCGTCGTGATGAACATGCCTTTGTAGATTGGATTCTGGAGCTGGGGGAATAGATGAAGGAGTAGACATTCCTGTAACACTGAGTTCATTGTTTTTTACAGAAAAAAAAATACAGGTAGGTTCATATGACATACTAGTACAAGGCAAAAAAATATATGTACAAACACACAAACCAGAGGTTAGCATCCAAGAAATATAAATAACATATTCAATTTAACAAAAATCATTTAGACACATGAAACATGAACTGTGACAGTTCACACACTATGCAGAGGCCCCTGGACACACTAGTGTCCCCACCTGCCCTGCCCCAGCCCCCATGCAGCCCCATAGCTGCTCTGAGCCGCCTGCCCTGGGGACATCTCCTGCATCCTTCCCTCTCCTTGCTCTGCTTCTGGCGCCTGCCTGGTGCTGCCCTGACCCTGGAGATCCCCTGAGGGCATGTGTGTCTGTGTGTCCTGCACTCAGGTGGAATGTCAGGTGAGGAATTTGAATGTGTTGAAAGATGTAAGACCCTGCCATCCTAATAGTCATGTCAGCAGGAGGATTATTTTGAGCTAAAGGCACCCGAGAAACAGCAGAAGCTGAAGACCCTGTGACTCTCATCTTCTTTGCTCCTAAAAGCAGGATCTTGAGGATCCCCTGTGACACTCACCTGGGACCAGAAGAAAAGCACAGTCATCACCATCCAGGTCCGGAAGTGGAATAAGGAGAAAGGATGGAAACTTTGTGAAAAACTTCACCTGCTGTGGCTTCCTGGGTGATTTAGTGACATTCTGGCGCTTGCTCTCCTTGAGTGACCATGTCACTGTGGCTACTCCGTGACCTCCCATTTCCACGTGAGGCTCCTTTGACATAACTCACAGTTCAATTCTACAGATTTCACAATTAGTTTTGGGCTGACCCGTTTCCACCTATGAAATATTCCATATTTGGCCTCCTCCTCTTGCCTTAGTTCATCACATAATCCCCACAGTCACTGTTCGTGGAACACAGGAAGGACCCCCCCCCCCCGCCCCACTCTCCCAGCACTTCCTCCCTTGAAGTCACATCCTGGCATTTGTCCTGTGCTTCTGTCATTTCATCTTTGCTTTGGACCCCAGGCCAGAGATATGATGGGAAGTGGAGAGAATTATCTGTCTTTCCAGTCATTTTCCAATGTTTATTTTAAATGAAGGACACGTGGGGAAGGACTGCCACTGCTGACTCTTTGTGCTTCGCTCTTTAATTCCATGGCTTATAGATTTATTATTTTACTGAGGTTGTATTGGTGGAGAGCATATGTATGATTCAGAACAGCAGACTCACCCTCTTCAGATGTATGTTATGCCAGACACTGGTACCAAGGCACCCACAATCCTACCACAGTCCACTTGGCCCCTCTACCTTCTGCTGCCCAACCTCTGGTTGCCTCAATTCTACAGATTTCACAATAAGTTTTGGGCTGACATGATGTCCCATTTCCACATATGAAATATCCCATATTTGGCCTCCTCCTCCTGCCTTATTTCATCACATAATCCCCCACAGTCACTGTTCATGGACACAAGAAAGACCCCCGCTCCCGCCGCCTTCACTCTCCCAGCACTTCCCCCCTTAGAGTCACATCCTGGCATTTGTCCTTTACTGCATGGTTCACCCTCTATAAGGACAGCCTGTGCCCTCCCTGCCCCCATCATCTTGGGCTCCCCTGAAGACACTCAGGGCTGATGGGCTGCAGAGCAGAGGTCTGGTCAGTGTGGGGGCTCCATAGGAGCCCAGCATGTGTCCTGACTATTTCCAGATCTGTCACAGGAACAGGGTGTCCAGGTTCCCCCTTTTCTCTGGTCCAGTCAGGAAACCCACCCATGTCACACACCTGAGGGCTCCTCCAAGTTGACCCCAGAAAATACAAAGAATCAGGACTTCCCTTTTCCTCAGGGAGATCAGAGCTGTGGGCCTGAAATCTGGTGCAGGGGGGCTTCCCTCCCTCAGCCCAGGTCTCTGCAGGACCCCCTGAC